AATAAATATAAAAATTTTTTTTTTTTTTTTTTTTTTTTTTTTTTAAATGTCCTACACACCCAAACCACAAACATCTTCCCAACCCCTTCCAGACTCACCGCAGGACTGAGAACATTTTGGCCATTTTACCGATGGCACGGATCTTGTTTCTGATGACCTCTTTACGGGCGGCCGCAGCATTAGCTAAGAGGAACAAGGAAACAAACTTTGATTTCATAAACAACATGCTGAAGCTGAATATTCTACGTAACAAGATTTTAAAATGAAGCAATGTTTTGCTATGAATCTGGGACGTCTTAATTCTTATTTTTAAAGCTACAGTACATCAGTGTTCATTGTTCAGTTGCTAAACAATTTAAGTTGTTAGAGAATGCCAACAATTAAGCAAAATGCATATTTTAGTTGTCATTTAGTTGTATTTGACTTTAAAAACTATAGGTGTAATAATTTAAATGATCTAGTCCTGTGCGTTTTAGAAAACAGAGGAAAAACGTATGTGCAATAATGTGCAGTCCTCACCATCAAAGATCTCATCTTCATCGTTCATAAGCTCATCATCAGAGCAGATACTGAGGACATTCACCAACATTTCTGTCACTAGAGTCAAAGGTAAAAAAAAAAAAGGCAAGATCTTTTGACAAAGCATACACTATGATAATTTTGAACAAATAAATTCACAACACCACCATTACAAGAAATGCTAGGGTCATATTGATATCCTGCATAAACTTGGTCCTTTAATCTCCATCTCTATCAAGCGAAATATTTTTGGATGGCTCATTTGCTTCATTCTATTTCGACTTGTTAGGACAGAATAGATGGAGCTATTCCATCTGCTTTGTTTTAACAAGTCAGCAGAAGAGCGCATCCACTTTCCTCACACACCCAGAATGAAGAAAACATAAGGAATTTGTCTCCAGGCAGATTGAGCAACATTGTTCAAGAAGATGTTTCCTATAATTTCCCACCTTTCTCTCCAACGAACGGAAGAGACCAGGTGAAGACGTCCATGAAGTTGGGCAGCCAGTATGGATGTGGCGAGCAGTTGAACTGTCGTATGTTCATTACGTTGTTCTCGTATTTAAGCACGGCCGCTGCGGACAGGCATTAAGGCAGTTATATTCACACACAAAAAAACATTTACATAAGTATCTCTACTTCTCTAATGAACATCTTTAACTTACTTTTTTTTTGTACATGATTGACACACAACAAAAACACAAAGCCTTGCATTACATACAATGGCCTCTGACATACTTGAGTGTTTATAAACCTTAAAAAACAGGTTTGTGTAGGAGAGCCATATGAAAACCTATCAACAACATGCCTGGGTTACATTTCATATTTCAGACAAAGATAAGAAAAAATATTTTGCACAGAAAATTAAGCCTTTTCAGGACAATCAGGAAGTTGATATGCTGTATATGAATAATATATCTATCTATCTATCTATCTATCTATCATACACTTCTCACATACAATTAGTTGACTTTATCATTAGTCCAATAATAAAAGTATACAGAAAATGCAGCTTAAATAATCAAATATATAAAAATATAGGCTACAACCAACTGTATTTAATGTATTGTGCCCAAAATGTAATGACCTTTTTTAAAAAGATATATAAAAACATTTTAACATTTTAACATGGTTGCTACTTGCGCATTCAGTTGATCAGCAGTTTCTAGCCATGCAGCCTTTCTATCTGTTTTTATGATAGCTGTGACTTTTATGGTTATTAGTAGAACATTAAAACATTACAATCCAAAATTGCTCTTTAAAACATTAAAAACACTAAATTAAAAGTTAAAATCAATGAATTAAAAATTGAAATAAATAATAGAAATCAGACTACATTTTAACTGATAAGTAGAATACACATTTAACTCATTTGAGCTAGTAATTAGGGCTGTATTAGCCCGCTTACATTTGATGTACAGTTACTGCTATCATTAAAATACACTTATATAGGATTAAAATTCTACATGTCACATTTAATGTCCAACAACAAATATTTTAGCAGAATGTATATTTTACTCAGAATTATTGCACTATTATATTTAGCACGCATGTTCACTCATGAAGCCCCGCCCACTCCTGACAGTAAAATGGATATATTTGCATGACTTTCTAACATTTACATGTGAAAAATTACCTGTGACGTGTCAGTTATGCACTGAGGAAAACACAACGTCTCAAATGCATTAAACAGCACAAATATTTGCTGTTTGCCATAGGGCTGCTTAAGTAAGTGTGTGCACATCAAATGATCTTGACTCACTGAACCTGGATCGAATTAGTGAGACTGCATGAACTTAAATTGTCGTTTATGAAACCGCTTTAGTCCCGATTGATTTCCTAGGTTATTTCAAGTCAGGTTTTGGACTTTAATCCCCACTTTTCTTAGCGTCTTTTATGAAAAAGCCCCCTGAATTCAGACCTTTGTTGTTGTAAACGTCCAGATAGTTTGGAGCCGAGAAGATGGTGATGAGAGAAGGGAAACCTGTAGTCTGACTCTTCCTGTACATACGGTAACTGAGAGAGCAAGAAAACAAAGAAGAGAAGGAAGATAATTACAGTATGGCAATCAGAAACTTAAATCAGAATCACAATAGGAAATAAGTGAGGGAAAAATAATCTCCTTCCTCAGATTTAGCTAAACATTAAGTACTTATTTGTGGTGGACCCCGTTTAAAACCCTCAAAAAGTTTAGTTTCTCAAAGCATATAGTCTCAGTTCATAATAAATGATTGTTTGGAAGCCTTTATTCACTGTTTATTTGAAATAACTTAATGTGCCTTTAATGTTCAAAGGCATGCAATACAACAAAATTATGAACATAAAATGCTTTAAATATGTTTAAAGAACATTAATATTATTAGTCTGTGTAAAATTAATGTACTCAGCTAACATGCTGTCTGTTGTTGTCGTCTGTTGTACTGAATATTGTAGATGCATTACTGACTGTTGTTCTGCTGTAGGGTATAGTTCACTATTGTGGAGTATTGTAGAGTATCTTTGCAGATTTAAAGCTACACTGACCGATAAGTGGGCCTGGGCTGAGGTGAATAGGTGAATGTTTGTGCACTGGTGGCATTTTAGATCAATAAACACTACTGTACTGTAATGTATGTGGATTATGGAGAATCAATGGCTCTATGCGTCTGTCAGTCTGCTGTATTTGATCGTCCATCAACACAAACTCCAACAGCCTGTCAATATACACATACTGCTTTTGTGTGGGTGTTTCATCAGGCATATTTGTAGGAGGTGAGGAAGGCCAAAAATCAGCCATATAAAAAGAAACAAGAGGTCAAAGGTGATATTGGTGTTGGTTTCTCACCCGGCATCCTGTGCCTCGTGTGCCCTGATGACAGACAGTAAGTTGTTGGTCTGTAAAAACTCACACACTGCAGGATAGCTGTAAAAAAATGATAAAACCAACGTTAACAAGGCTTGATAAGCACTTTTTACAGTCCTTCACTGATAACACAACTCATTTGACTAAATAACTAGCTAAATACATACTTCGTCAGGCTGAGAGACCATCTAAAACCAGCTAAGCTCAGCAAACCACCATAGACTGCTTTTTTCCAACAGGATGTTAGTGTGTCATTGCTAATAGTCCAGTTAGCACTTGTGATTTAGATCTAGCATATCTGTTGAAACCTCATTGCCAGTTCATTAGGTTTTATTTGATTACACAGCCTTCTGATATTTATGATAGAGGACTTTACCCGTTGCTAGCGTGTTTATTATTGTCTTTACCGCTATCAGCCACCAGGGGATAGCAGTGATGAAAATGTGCAGCTTACTGAGAAAATCACCATCATATTCTGCTCAAAATATCTGAAGGGTCTAAATGTGATACTAGTAAAGAGATGAGCACTCAGACTCGGTGGTGTATGATTGCATGTTGAAGAATAGTCCTGCATGTTATTTGTTAGTTTAACTTAGCAGTCTATTATTTTCTTTTTTATACTGGTATATTGAAAGTAACAGGCCTAAAGCGCACACAGACACACCGATCATCCACTGTGTTTCATTGATTTCAGAAGGTTTCATAAGAAGCGAAAACAGTGAGGATTGTGGGTAACGTTCACACCCGAGGCTCTCACTCACATTCTGCGCAGTGTTAGCTGTGGTCTCCCTTCTCTTTCTCTCGTTTTCTCTCTCTATATATTTTCCAGTAAGCCTGAATCTAAAAGTAATTTTAAAAAGTACAAATGCTATCTATTTGTTCATTTGATTTGATTGCTTGCTGCAGGTTTGCTGTGATTCCTTGTAATTTCGCCAAAAAAAATCATATCAATGACTATAAAATAATAATTTGTATTATTATTATCATTGTTATTATTTCTTAAATACTATTTTATATTATAATAGTAATGTATTTCTTATTTTGTTTTATATTTATTTTGTATTTTTTATATTATTGTTTATTATTATTATTTAATTTTATGATTATTAAATAAAAATAAACAAAATAAGAAACACATACATTCTACGTTATTACTATTTTATTTTACAGTATAACAGAAAAATAATATATGTAATAATATTATATACATATGTATAGAATATTATGTAATATACTAATATTTATGTCTAAATGTCTTTATTTTCAAATGTTAAGCCATCGTACATTCATTTGGTGGAAAACTGCTTCTCCTTTGTTGGCTACAGGGTTAAAAATGCTTCTCATTACAAAATGCTTCACTATTTATTTAATTAAATAGGAGCCTTCGTGATTTGATAATCGCACTAAGCCATATCACGATTTCAGTTTCATTTCGATTAATCGCTTGGCCCTCTTTTCTATCTCCTCTTCCTTTTCTGCTCCATCATTTCTGTCTTTCTCTCAGGTTCTCACTATATCTCTGTATCTTCATATCTCAGCGGATCTGGCAGTAGTAGCCAGTTGTCATGGTAACAGCAGAGCGCAGATTCCCGTGGGATTGTGGGGATTCTGTGTTGTTCTGAGGCTGGTTACTGTTTGGACTGCTTTACAATTCCAATTAAACTCATGCAGCACTTCAGGCGCTGGACTTTCATCTGCACCTTTATTTCACTGTACAAACAGTCCCAGAGGAACATCGTTTGCTCAGTGGTTGCTCATTCATAGCGCAGAAGACTTAAAATTTAAGATGGCTCTCCTAAAATTCCTTAGAGGTAATATAAAGATACATAAATGACACAATTGTTGACATACAGTAAGAGTATAGCGTTATAAAATAAATGTGGATCATCATGGAGTCATTGTTGAGACTAGGGCTGCAAAAACGAATCGATAAAATCGATTATTATCGATAATGAAAATAATCGACAACGATTTTCATTATCAATTAGTTGGGTCTGTCCACAGTGCACGTCCAACTTCAGCCGGTCATGTCAAATTACAGCACTGAATTACAAAATGCATCTAAAAATAGTGGAGGAAACAGAATGAGATGCTGTGGGAGAAGTACGTGAACCTGCCCACAACATGAGAATTCTTTATTTTAAGCTTTAAACAAACTTAAAGGGTTTGTTCACCCAAAAATGAAAATTGTTTTACTCACCCTCGAAGCATCCTAGGTGTATATGACTTTCTTCTTTCAGACGAATCCAGTTGGAGTTATATTAAAAATTGTCCTGGCTATTCCAAGCTCTATCATTGCAGTCAGCAGGTGTTGCAGTTGAACAGTCCACAAGTGTCAAATAAAGCGCGCGCATCCATAATAAAACATGCCTCACACGGCTCCGGGGGATGAATAAAGGCCTCCTGTAGTGAATGCATGCGTTTTTGTAAGAAAAATATCCATATTTCAAATGTAATAAACATTTTTCTCTCACTTCCGGTATCTGTCATAAGCAGAAGGCGTTCTGGCGGATGACGCAGCACGTATGTGCAGTGCGCGCCTCTGAGATATGCTAGTCTCGCGAGTTTGTTTATAGGAGCAAAGGAAGCAAAGTTTCTTTACTTTAGCAAAGGAAAACCAGTCTCCTCTTGATTTATATCGAAATCCTCAGACGTTTTTCTTGTTCTAATTCATGACCGGTGTTTTGTTTTGTTCTCTCTCCGCATTCGTCACTAATTACGCAACGCCGACGTACTACGTCATCCGCCGGAATGGCTTCCATGGAAAGTGATTATTACGTTTGAAATATGGATATTTTTCTTACAAAAACACATGGATTCGCTTCAGGAGGCCTTTATTCACCCCCCGGAGCCGTCTGCAGCACGTTTTATTATGGATGCGCGTGCTTTATTTGACGACTTGTGGACTGTTCAACTGCAACAACCGCTGACTGCAATGATAGAGCTTGGAATAGCCAGGACAATTTTTAATATAACTCTGACTGGATTCGACTGAAAGAAGAAAGTCATATACACCTAGGATGCTTCGAGGGTGAGTAAAACACAAGCTAATTTTCATTTTTGGGTGAACTAACCCTTTAATTCGCGTAATGGCTTGCCCTGTCAGGCAGTTTGACATGCGTGTGCGTCCTGCACACAGTAAAACGTGAAGAAATGACAGTAAGACGTGACTGTGATCAAAGTGAACGTGTGTTCCTGCACAACATTACTCTTACATATTTGGTTACCACTGAGTTTGTGATTTTATTCATCTTTATTATCTAATGTAGAGATTTAAACTATATTCACTATAGGCTACAGTGCTTACATTTATTAAAAGAAAATTTATGTAAGGTTTTTAACAAATTATGTAAGGTTTGTGCCACTGCTGCTAAACTAAACTAACAATATTGGTGATTACCAAAATATTTTTTTAGCTTTCTGTATAGGTTAGTCCTCCAATTTGTGTAAGCTCTTTACTAACAGTAGTAGGCTATTTCTAATGCTATAATATGGTTATTGCTGTTGTCTATAAAAAAGAAAGGCAAAAAAATAACACTTTATAGTGTTTTTTTCCAAATTACAGTCAAAAATACCTAAACAATGTCAGCAAGAATGCAAGCTGTTATGAAAGACATAGGAGGCCATTTTTGTTATTATGTGAATAAATACTATTTATTTTTTTCAGTTTGTTATTTGCCCAATAAATGACAATAACATTTTTAGATTTTTTTGACAGATTCCTAAAATATTTGTTTTCTCTTTATGACAGGTGGTCTAATCAATTCATCACTGTACGTTTTCATAGCATTTAGTTGGACATTGGGCAGAATGTCAAATAATGTTTTTTTTTGTCAATAAAACAAAAAAAAGAAAATTGGCCTTTTTTTAAATATCCGATTAATCAAAGAAGAAAATAATAATAATAATAATAATCGGCCAACTAATCGACTACCAAAATAATCGTTAGTTGCAGCCCTAGTTGAGATTTCAGGTTACTGGGGATTTTCTGAAGAGAAATGTGAGAACAGGAGAGTCTCAGTTTGTTGTGTGGTTTACCTGTAGAAGTAGGAGCATCCGCGGACACTGTTGTGGCTGAAGTAATCTTGACTCTTTTCATTGCCAAAGTCCTCCAGCGGGTCAGCCCAGAGCAGATCACACATGGGGCCAAATGCTGGCGGTTCCTTGAACCTGTCCAGCTGAGAGACAAACAGAGAGCCAGTGAGTTGTCTAGTAGTATAAGAAATGTGCTGTTTCAAGAATCAATACCGAATGCGATGACCTTCTCAAATGTGCATAACAATGAGCGCATGTTTAATATATCCATACTCTGGAGGCAAATTAATTGACAAATTTCCCCACAAATCTTTTTTTTTTTTCCTAAAATAAAAAATACATGTAAAAATGTAAACAATGTTGCTGTATTTTATTCTAAATGCAAAAGAGTGGCTCTGTATTAGTTATAATTTACCAATTAAAATATTAAAATGTTTATCTTAAGTATTTACATAAATACAGTGAGTCATATGCTCAGTGTCAACATCACTAAAATTAAATATGCTAATAATACTAATAAATGAACAACATTATTAATATTTAACCATATTTTTCTGTATTATTATCTTATTTTACATCACACTGTTTTAATTTGTTAATACTACTTTTATACTTTTATATTTTGCATTCATTTTTTGTTTTTTCTACATTGAAAATAAGAATATACTTTGTTGTATAAAGTAAAGAAGACAAGAATAATAATAAAATAAAATAAACAATGTGGTGTGCTGTGTTTGTGCACAGCCTGTTCATTGCTAAAGAAAATACACCAGAAGCATAATGGGAGATTTACAGAAGATCCGTCAAACGTCTGTTGTTAGAGCTCAGTCTTAAGACATAAAACATTTTAAATAATCTAGGACTGCTTGATAAAGAATTTCTGGGGAACAGGAACTGGATTTACCGTTCAAAAGTTTGGGGTGGGTAAGATTTTTAGTGGTTTAGTCTCTTATGCTCACCAAGGCTGCATTTATATGATTAAAATAAAAATTATATTTATAAATAATATTACAGTATAAAATAGCTGTTATATTTTGCATTATATTTTAAAACTTAATTTATTCCTGTGATGCGAAGCTGAATTTTCAGCATCATTACTCCAGTCTTTAGTATCACATGATCCTTCAGAAATCATTCTAATATGCTGATTTGCTGCTAAAGAAACATTACTTATTTTTGTTGAAAACAGTCATGCTGCTTAATATATTTGTGAAAACCATGACACATTTTTTATTCTTTGAGTAGAAACTTCAAAAGAACAAGCATTTATTTGAAAGAAAAACAGTTTGTGAAAATGTAGTCAAAAAGTCACTTTTTGTCAATTAAATGCTGACCCAAACTTTTGAACGGTAGAATGATGTCATATATATATATATATATATATATATAATATACACACACATTCCTCCTCACCCTCTTAATGTCATCTAATGTGTGTATCTCTGGAGACAGGCCGCCATGAACACACAAAAACTGCTGATTCATCAGAGCAGCCAGAGGCAGACAGTCGAATGCATCCATGCACGCGTCGTACACCTGCTCCGAGTATTTGATTTTACCTGAAAGGAAGAGAGACAGAGATCACACACCTGCACGGAGCATCTAATTTCACCCGAGAGACAGAGAGTGAGACAAACAAAGAGAGCGCAGGAGAGATACGGATGAGAAGTAATGTCACTCCAGAGCTCAGAAATGAAGTGAGCTTCTTCTGAAAGGTTTATTTTCTCTGTATGAAACTAATTTGTACATTAAGCTCCTGCATTCATTTACACTTTCAGAGGACACTAAACCAGAGATGTGTGTGTGTGAGAGAGACAGTCTGTGCTGTGTCAATCTCACTGCTCCAAATCTACCAATCTGTTCAGCCACATCACTCTGCATTATCTCTCCATCGCTCGTCTTTCCTCTATTCACACATAAATACTGTCTCAACAATGAAGTTGGATCAATCAATATGTAAAAATTACAATCAATATGTAAAAATACACAACAATGTTGTAGTGTAGTAGTATAAGAATACAAATGTTCTCTGTGTCAAGAATCTACACTGAATGTGATGACCTTCTCAAATGTACGTCACAATGAGTGAATGTATATAGTCATATAAAATCAAATATAGTCATACTATGGAGGAAAATTTGTTGACAAATTATATAACAAAAATATATGACAAGATATATACATATACACATACATTTATATATATATATATATATATATATATATATATATATATATTAATCATACATTTATCTAGATCAAACTAAATT